AGCAGAGAATTATTTAGGTGAGCTCTAGGAAATGAGGTTGGAAAAGATGATTAAGAAAAATTCTAAAGGGCTTCCTTGAATGTCATGCTGAGGTTAGACTTGATAACATAAACAATCGTAAACCACTCAGATTTAATTTCATTTAAAAAAAAATAACATTGACAGCAGTGTAAAGGAAGGACTGAGGGCAGCAAGGGAAAAGAGAAAGGGAGATCCATTAAGAGACTATTGCAATAGTCCAGGTAAAGAACAACTGGAGAGAAGACCTAAAACTTACAGTAATCAACAGAAGTTAGTTGTGGAAAGCAGGTGAGATAAAGAGGGGAAAATTGAAATTGTTAACCAAAATGGTATGCATAGCTAGTTGAATGGTAGGTTAATTATAGAGAAAAGAGGCTTAAATATTTGTGGGGAATATCTTTCCATCTGTTAATGGACTACTGAGATCTGATGTACACTATGTTTCAGAAGTGAAAGAGAAAGAAGATGGCTTTATCAAGCACTTAAAATATATTAAGTGGCAGTGATTCTTTTACAATAAATTTGGCAGTGTAAGAAAGTAGAGAAGGCAACAACTGACAATGTGGAAGCAGGGACAAGGGCAAGGACATTTTGGTTCTTGAGGTTTTTTGTTTTATTTTTTAATATGGGGTAAAATTTGATCACGTGTGCAAGCTAAGGGGAAGGAGTCAATGGAGAGGGATGGATCTAAGATGCAAGACTGAAGAATTAAGCTGACTGAGCAGGTCTCCAAGATGGTATAAGTGAAAAGATGGTAGACAGGTTGTCCCTTCCTTGGAAAGGTGAGTAGGTTTTCTTCTGAAGCTGGATGAGGGAAGAGAATGAGATGAAGGTTATCTAAGACGTTATAGATCAGTTTAGTAATGGTGGGAGGGAAGCTGAGGGAGTCCAAACCACACACCACTATTTTTTGCGGTAGAGTAGGAAGTTAATTATCTGCTGGGAATGGATGTTCAGGAATAGGGTAAGAAGTCTCAGCAGCCTCTAAGGTAAAGAAGCAAAGATTACCAATAAAGATACATGCCAGAAAGGAATTCTACCTACTTTTGCCCTTGGACCTAGCATCTGGCTTGAATAACTGGAGTCTCTAACTAAATTGGGTTATGTACAGAAAGGATGAAGTCAGATCTCTCCTCAATGAATGCTAAAATAAAGGTCTGGGGGTAGAGTGGACTGTACACAAGTTGTACTTAGTTCTGACCCAAAGCAATCCCCCTAATGAATTTAAAAGTTGCCTTGGCTGGGTGCGGTGGCTCTCGCCTGTAATCCCAGCACTTTGGGAGGCCCAGGCGGGCAGATCACGAGGTCAGGAGATAGAGACCACGGTGAAACCCCGTCTCTACTAAAAATACAAAAAATTAGCCAGGCATGGTGGTGGGCGCCTGTAGTCCCAGCTACTTGGGAGGCTGAGTCAAGAGAATGGCGTGAACCCGGGAGGCGGAGCTTGCAGTGAGCCAAGATTGAGCCACTGCACTCCAGCCTGGGCGACAGAGGGAGACTCTGTCTCAAAAAAAAAAAAAAAAAAAAAAAAGTGGCCTTATAAGAATGGAAAAGACCAACTTAGAATTACAAGGGGCAGGGCAGTTTAAAGTCAATAACATCCAGAATTATGGCCTTATCAAGCACCTAAGTACCATCAGGGGATAAAAACAAGATATCCCTATGGTCTATATACTACATCTTAAGTCATTAAGAGATATACTGTCTGAAATTTGTCTATATGCCAAACAAGGCTTTGCAAACTGCTTGGTGCATAGCATAGGCCCATACTTGCTTGAAATGGAAAAAGTGGTTTTGACAGACCTTGAACTTGCCAAACCCCTTGCTTTACCTTTTAACCTACAGGTGTGATATATATTCAAATATGCACATTAATTCTCCTAATATGAATCTCAAACCATAAGACTGACCAGATTCTGAGCCTTATGCAACTGTTCCATGGATTTGGAATGAAATATTCAGAGGTGGGTATAGCTTGATTTCTGTTTCAACACTGTATAATCATGAAGAGGAAAACCCCAGATTCTATTGTCTTAGTCTAGATATATCAGAATCAAATTTCCTGGGTGCTCTGTATTTTCTACTTCAGTACTACAATGAGTTTAACAAAACTGATCCTACACTATTATTGTTGCTCTTTTTATCACAGAAGAATTATCTACACCAGTATACAAAGTGAAAGTAACTTCATGATAACCCAAGACAATATTATTAAAATCAGACTGAGATATAAGATATGAAAATAGAAATGTTTATCTTGTATAAAAAGGTAGGCAGAAACCTAAAAGACAGGGAAAGTGATTGAAAATTATGTCACAAAAAGAACATTACTATATTAAAAACAATGCCTATATACTAGCTATAGCTGAATTCGTATTATGAAATGTAAATCTAATTTTGCTAACATGCGTGATTATTCTGGATTTAGAATATGTAACAATTTGGGGGGAAGTCATCTATCTCTCATCTTTAGAACCTGGCCTTTCAAATCTCCATGAACAACTCAGTGGCAAAGATAAAACATCTGCCAAAACACAGATGACAGCATGAGCAAGTGTCCTAATGGTAGGCATTTAGTGTAATGCTTTAAAAAACACTGCCTCTAGACTGCTGGGGCGGCCCCATAAATATGTACTTTTAAATAGGCGTTTACTTCCTTAAAATGGCAACTTGTATTTAAAAATAATATATTCTTTAAGTGAAAACATTTTTATTTAAACAAGCCGAATTACTACTAGACTTAGACAATGGAAAAAAATTTTATTTAATCATATGTACCCTGATTTAAAACAAAAAAAAACAACTCATTTTGAACAAAGAGAAATCATTCAACCACTAAAAAGACAGTTCACAACACCATCATTATTTATTTAAGGTTTTATTTGCTAGCTAATAAATACCACTGAAACTATGCACTTTTAAACAAAGTATAATTGGACATGAGTGGGGGCAGAGTGGAACGCAACATAGTAATTCATTCCACATCTCGCAAACCATTAAGGTGCCTTGCAGTTTGCCTGTAATTGCATGAAATGAGTATCTGAGATAACTTCTTTCACCACAAAGGCCACTAACACTGTAGAGGGTGCCAGGAAAGGTCCCTGATTCCTGGGGCTTAATTAATGAAACTGAAAACAAAATCAAACATCAATAGAAATGAATGTACAGATCCATGACTTTCTTACTCATTCTAGATTCTAAAGTCAGTCTCTCAAACCCTTGGTTTGCTGAGACATCTTTCTTCATACATGTCCCTTTCGAAGCTATATATTAAACACATACAAAAACATATTTTATAACAAATAGTATCACTTCCTGTTTTACAGTCCACACTTAAATCAATTGCATAATACCTGTATTTTGCGGGGTTTTTTTTCAGGTTAATATTAACTAAGTACAATAAAATACTATAAATTCTGAATTCTATGACTCTAGGGATTCGAACACATTAAAATTGTGTGTAAACGAATGCTAATTACATGATATTAACTATTACTAAAGAAGGCCTAACATAAATCCTATCACTCAAAGTACCATTCCAACAGTTCTAATCTACTTGATTTAAATCTAACCTACCTGTTTTAAAAATAGTATACGGCTTATACTTTTTACTATTTAGGCAATTTGAATAAGTGATACTGTATCACTTCATATCTGGATCAAAATGAAAGCGTTCTGAAATTATTATGCGATTATACAACACATCTCTGAAAGCAGTTTTGGCAATAATGATAGTAAAGGCAACAAGCATACTAAACGTGATGACAGGAAGCACTAACATCAACCATTTAGATAACGGAAATGTTGATTCAAATGGTCAGCAGAGACTTAAGGGCATCTTGGAAATAGCTAAAGTCACAAGCCTTTAGGAAGGGCACACTGAGGCTAATAATCAGTTTAAAATTGAATTGATTTAGCATTCTAGGATAAATGTAACAATTGCTGTTACTGGTACTCAAGCTGAATTCTGAATCTTACAAAAGTTCACAAAAGGCTCTATAGATGTGAAGTGTGACAGGCACTCACTGTAGAGCTACGAATGTTTCTATTCCTTGCTCAGTTTTTACAGACGAAGCACACGTTTTACAAAAGCGAAATGGATTCCAAAAGCTCGAGGTGGGGGGTGGCGGGGGGGAGGTTCTTTGGCGTCGAAAGACACCAAATCCCATTCTGTTGCACATGTTTTGACTGGAGGTTACTGTCTTCCTATTTCAGGCGAAATCCAGATTACTTTTAAAACGGTTCCCCCAAATAAAGTGGGAAAAACTTCAACGTACAATTTAGAATGTATGCAAGTGGCTGATGGGGCGTGGGGGTCACGAGAAGGAAAGAGTTTCCAGCAAGCTTATTTTTAGGATTAAAAACTACAGCAAAAATTACACGGCCGGAAGATTCTTCTGATTGAACGCTGAGTTGAAAATGAAACTTAATTGTGTCCTTTACGTCCTCTTCACTCCTATGTTCATGTGGGAGGCAAACGGCAGAAACCCCTTCTCACCGACTTCGCCAAAATGCGCACTTCCATCGCAAGAGGCCCGGGCCCTCCCACTCCCTCCCTCAACCCCAAATGCGTCTAAGCACTGAGAACGGAGAGGGGTGCGAAAGAAGGGGATCCCTGGCAGCTGCAGCCCCTCGCCTCCGATCGCGCCCTTTCTTTCTAGTTAATTTTTGCGCGAGGTGCGCGGTTTAGAGTCTTCCTCTGCGTGTGCATTTGGAGATGGAGAACCGGGTGGAGGAGATGAGCCCCGCTCTCACCCAGGGAGAAGACGACGACCAGGGAAAGGAAGGGAGGAAGAAAGGGGGCGCCCGATTCCCCGCGGGGCCCTCCCACGTCTGCACTTCGGGCGCTCGGGGCCCGAGCGTTCTGCGACCCGGCCACCCTCTTTTCAGGGCGCCGCCGGGCTGGCTGGGGCGCAGCCCACACACCCGCGGGGGCGAAGCGACAGCAGCCGCAGGGCTGGGAGCGAGGAGCCACTCACCGCAGCACGCCGAGCCCAGCAACAGCGCCGCTACCAGGGGCCACATCTCTGCGCCCGCCGCGGGGTCGCCGCCGCCGCCGCAGGTGTCTGGAGCAGCCGCCGCCGCTGCCGTTACAGGCAGGACCGACCGCCGCCGCCCGTCACAGGCAGGACCCACTGCCCAGGCTGCCCGGCCGCGCGCACGCGCGCTCCCACCGCTTCCCGCCCGCTCCCCCGCCTGCTCCCCGCCCGCGAGAGCCGCGCACGCGCACTCGGCCCCGCCCCGCAACCGCGGCTGTTGACGCGGCGCCCTCCCCAGTCGCAGGCTCCAGACCCGGGGCCCGCCTGCCCGCTCCACGGAGACCAGATGCCTGCTCTAGGGCGGTGGCACGCGCCGCGCTTCCTGGTCACGTCCTGTTGCACCTGCCCGCCCCTGGGGTCCGCGTGCTCTCCCGCCGCAGGAGTCTGAACCCTGTGTTCCCACGCTCGCCGTGGACCTCCTTGCACCCGTCCCTCTCCGCGGGTCTGTTCCTGCTTTTCGCGCGGCGCTGGGCCCCACTGTCCTCTCTCTCTACTTTTTCCCTCTTTGCTTTCACTCCCACCCTCGCGCTTCAGGGGCCCGGGCCCGGCCCCGCCCGCCCCGCCGCAGCCCTAGTCTCTCCCTGGACCCGACGTCCCGCTGCGCGCGTGGACCCGGACGCCTTCTAGGCTTTCACCAGCACCCACTTCCACCGAACGCGGCCGTCTGGTCCCGAAGCGCACTCCGCGTGGGGGAGTCTCGCTGCTTCCAGCGCGTCCCTGAGCCCGAGGCCGCCACGCCCAGGGCAGGGCGGCGGCCCGGTCCTTGCCCGCAGGGAGCTTCCACTCGCTCCTGGCGGGCTCTGCGTTCCGCTCGTCCACTCGCTCTGCTGTTTCCTATGCGGTTCTCTTCCCTCTTTCTCACTTGGTTCTTTAGTGTTTTCATCCTCTGATCAGGGTTGATCAAACAAATTCCATTCACGGTGGTAAACATTGTTACCTGCGAACACCGCCACCACCGGGACTAGCGAGCATTGTCGCAAAAAGGCATTAGCAGCGTATCCAACACATCCCCACCAGCAAGATTATTCAGCTTGGTTTGTGACTGCCCCGTGTGCAGCCCTCTGCGCTGCGCTTGGGTTTAACATGCTTGAAAAATGGGTTCGAAATGTGGCCGCAAGCCACAATAGGGACAAGGCTTCCGAATTTATCGCTGAATCACACAGGCCACATCATTCATCCTGAAGCAAAAATACTTTTAACAGTATTTTTACTTTTGAAGATACTTTTAACAGTTGTTCTAACTGATGTACTCTCATCAAAAAGTCAGGCTCTGGTGGCTGCTGTAATGGGGTGCCCATCCTGTCCACCTCCTTGGTTGTTTTTCTCCTACCTGCTGGGAAAGAAAGCAATTTCCCACCACAATACCCCACTTCTCCAAATCCTCTACACAGTGCGGCTCCTCCCAAGCACCCCATTGCCACAGAAATAAAACCCAGCATATGAAAGTGGCACTGTCTATGACACTCTGTGCCAGTGTATTGTGTACTATCGAGCTTCTTCCTGTAATTGTTTTTTTGTGTGAACCTCTTCCCCACAGCATTATCAATTCTTTTAAATCCGAGAGCATTTAAAGTATTCCCTCCTCCAAGACTTTCCATTGAGCTCGGCAAACAGAAGGGGTTTAATAAATGTGTTGATGCGACTTGAGGCAAGCTTTGCTCTAGTGAAATTTGATTGCTTTTTTAATGATTAAAAAATAAAGAAAAACAATTGTCTGGCAGACATCTCACTAAAACAATGGTTAATAATTATGGTGGTAATGATTTGAATGGCAGCCTTGACACCCCGAGGCAACCAAAGGGACTCATCGATTCTCCTCCAACTGCTGCTTATGTGGATACAAAAGAATCATCCACCAGACTTTGAGCATTAGGGACATTGTGTATCACAGAGCAGCTGGTTGGCTAAATAAGGCTGTCAGCTGTCCCTGATATCAACCAACCCCCCTAAAGCTGAAGAGTGGCTAGAAAGGACTGTCCCCAACCTTCAGAGGTAGAGATCGGGTGATGTTCTGTTTTACACTGGGAGCTACTGAGCTATATGTTTAATGTCTTTTTGTGCAGAAAACGGAATGAGAGGCCACCTGGGTGACCACTGCTGCTCTTGGGAATCTAGCTGGGGTATGTTTTGGTGGTGAGGCAAGAGCAGGCCTCTCTCAGGAGAGACAGTCCAAAGCAGCCTGTCTAGGTTTGATTATCCTCTCCCTGAGATAACCTTAAGCTCTTTTCAGTATTTAATCATTTTAAAGGTTTCCCTTTTAACTTTTCGAAGCATTTTAATTTGGATGTTGAGCTCATCTGTATGTAAGGAGTTTCTTGGGTGGAGAGGGAGGGAGTAATACATATTAGAATGTTTTGAACACAGGAAGTACACATTAGATATATCACCTAAGTTAATCTTCATAACAACCTCAGAAAGCATAAATGTTATGATATCCCTTTTTGAGATGAGGAAACAAAGGGAAAGAGGCATGGTGAGCGCTTTGCCCACAGTTATACGTGACACTGCTCTCTCTCTTGTCTCTCTCCCTTGTTCTCATTTTCATCCTTTTTTCTTTTGACCCTGTAATATCAAAGTTGTTGCAGTTTCCCCTTTACAGATAAATAAACTTACAAAAATCACTCTTGTCATCTTTATAGATAAGGAAAGTGAGGCTTAGTCACAAGCTCAGGGTGGACTGAAGTCTCCCTGACTTTATGGCCAGCGAAAAAATTCACAAACTTTCTCTCTAAATGCATAAAAATTTCCCTTTCCCTCATTTCTGTCTCAAGGATACATCTACTTTTATCTTCCTCCCCACACAACATCAAGATCCTACCACATAGTAGGTATGGATATGATAGTATCTTTAAACGTTTACGTAGATACAATTGTATCCTTATTGTAACTTTTCATTTAGCAAATGTTTTGCCCCATACTGGTGTGTCATGCAACGACATGAGACAGTGCTGTCTCCTGGTACCCCCAGGGGTTAGCTTAGAACTGTATGTGCCTACCTACTCATATTCTGTGTTTTGTGTAGGGCCAGATGCATCTTTCAACATAAGGGAACATAACAGCAAAGGATCCCACAGTAAATCAGGGTCCAAGATAATGCCAGTATAAGTTAACTGCTCTTCTCTGTGTTTTAGTCTCACTTTGGTGCATATCAGTTACCGTCTTTTATTGAAATTATCTGTTTATATAGTTGTCTTCCTGTTCAGTAGCCTGGCACATAGTATGTACTCAACAAATGGTTGTTAAAAGAATAAACAGAATGAAGAAATGAATGACTGAATGAGTAAATAAAACTCTCGGGGTCAGGAACCGTATCTTCCATCAGTGTCTGACAAAGCACCCAGCATTAAAGGGCGTTCTGTAAATGTATGTGAATGAAACTATTGAACTAACCTTGGAGCTGACCTGACATATTAGAGGTTCTTAGCATCATTAAGTTCCTATTTTTGACTTATCAGTCATCAGCTGGTTGTAGTTTCTGAGTATTATCCCTTTCTTCTTAGTGTCTCTGAATATGTGCTTTCTTTTGTAATTAAGATTCTTCACTTGGTAATAATTCTGGCCAATGGAATGCAAACTAACATCTGTTGCATGGCCAGGCAACACTAGCAACACTGGATTATTCCATGCCTGGACTATGCAACTTTCAGGCTTTTGTGCTTCAATTACACTGTTTGCTCTGCTTCTCATAATTCTCCCTCATGTTTTCTTCTCTGCTCCTCAACTCACAGAATTCCAACTCATTCTTCAAGGCCAAGATCAAATATCACTTCCTCAAAGAAGACTTTCTCAACCCTACTTTTTCTCTTTGCCATGATTCTCCATCATTTCATAGTTCTAGTTATCTCTCCCATGATGCTTTGTTCATACACTAACAAAATGTGTCAGTAGATATTTGTTTCGATGTAATAGTTTCCTTTTCTATCACGTTAGCTTGGAGAAAATGAAATTTGTCCTGAGTATATTTACATGTCTGTATTAGGGTTCTCTAGAGGGACAGAACTAATAGGATAGAAAGATAGGTGGATTGGCTCATGTGATTAAAGAGGCTGAGACATTCCTCGATAGACCATCTGTAAGCCTGGAGACCCAGGAATGCCAGTAGCATGGTTGTCCAAACTGGAGGGCCTCAGAACCAGAGGAAGCCCTTGGTGCACCTCTCATTCTGAGGCTGAAGACCTAAGAAGCCAGGAGGCCACTGGTGCAAGTCTCAGAGTTCAAAGGCTGGAGAACCTAGAGTTCCGATGGCCAACGACAGGATAAGAAGAGTGTCTCAGCTCCAGTAGAAAGAGCAAGAGAGCCTTTTCTCTGCTTTTTACTCTATCCACACCCCCAGCTGATTAGATGGTGCCCACCCACGTGGAAGGAGGATCTCCCCAACTCAGTCCACTAACTCACATGCCAGTATCCTCTGGAAATAACCTCATAGACACACCCAGAAATAATGGTTTAACACCTATCTCTTAATCCAGTCAAGTTAATACCTAAAATTAACCATCACAATCTCCAAAGTCAAACATAGTGCCTGGTTGGAGACCTACATGTGTCGAATCAATCAAGAAAACTCACAGTGTGGTGTGTAGTATACAGAGTTACTTTAACCTAGGTCTGAGTTATAACTCAAGTCACTTACTACCTGTTAACCTTGGACACATTATTTAACCTTTCTGAACCCTTGTTTTCTCATTTGTAAAGCAAGGATGATAAAAATAATATAAATTAACTTTTGAACATGGCTTGAGAATGTAATGAGTTAACACCTTTACAGTTATGTAGAGCAGTGCCCGAGGCACAGTAGGCACACAATAAATATTAGCCCTTATTTTAATAATCATCTTATGTAGTGAGATTGGTCTCCTAGAAGGGCAGTGAAAATATTATCAAAAGAATCACCAATTGCTGCTCAGGAGCATTGAAGGAGCACCCTGAGTTGGAAAAGTGTCAACAATTTTCGTTGAAGCTAGATGCGCATGTCTATGCCTAGTGGGTAGCCCTTAATTTGCTTTTTCTTCACATTTCATTGGCGATTCAATGCTGAGGGACCCATGTTTCCAATACCTGGCTCAGAGCCCAGTCTCCTAGGATGCTATTTCAACTTGACCCAGCTATAAAAGCATAGGAGCCCCAGTCATCAAATAAAGCAGCAGAGCAACGAAGGTCTGTGCTGTCTGGTCAAGGGTTAGATTTGGATGGTTAGGGAGCTGGAAGATACTGGTATGGGATTGTGGGGTTGGAGAGATGGATTTGGCTTAGGAGAACGGAAGGAAGGCTCCAGCAGCAGGAAATCATTTTCTTGCTAGCCTGTGTTTCAGTTAGGGGCAAATATTAGAAGCAGGAACTGCCTCAAGGTAGGAGATAATAGGACTGAGGGTTTTAGGTAAGGGATATCCTGCTACAGAGATGATAATGTGATCTGGTATGGGTTTTCCTCTGCATGTCAAATGAATAACAAGGATTCATTTGCTTTTGCCGCAAGATGCACAACATTCTCTACTCCTCCCTCTGCGGTTGCTGCTGGAGGCCACTCATGTAGGGCACCCATATTCACGACAGCTTGAAAGCACTAGAGAAAGCCAGCTTCTATGTTACATTGTAAAATCACAGCAGGCTTATTTCTTTGAGAGCATGTACTGTTTTGAGTCCTGAGAAGACCCCTTTGTATCTTGCCTACCTCTCCTCTTTGAGAGCCTGTAACATACGTGCAGTGGGCATAGACCATGCACCAAGACTGCGCTGTGCTAGTGGATTTACTTTCGATTGCTAGTATAACAAATTACTACAAATTTAGGGGCTTAAAACAACACCCGTTTATTATCTCACAGTTCTGTAGGTCAGAAGTCCAGTAGGTTCAGCTGGTTTCTCTGTTTCAAGTCTCACAAGACTGACATCAAGGCATTCGCTGAGCCGCTTTCCCTTCCGGAGGCTCTAGGGGAGAGTCCATTTCCAGGTTAATCCAGGTAGTGGGCAGAAATCACTGTCTGTAGGATTGAGGTCTGTTTCCTTGCTGGTTGCCATCTGGGCATCTCCCTTGGTATTTAGAGGCCTCTTTTGAGTCATTGTAGGTAGTCTCTGCACACCCAGAGCTAGGAGTGGCATATTAAATTCTTCTCACCCTGGATTTCTTCTGTCTCTGCTTCCTGTGCTGCATCTCTATGACAAACTCTTCTGCCTTCCACTTCTGCTTTTAAGTGCTCAAGTGATTAGATGGGGCCCCCTTGATAATCCACGATAATCTTCCTATTTTAAGGTCTGTAATCTCAATCATATCCACACTGTCTCTTTTGCCACATAAAGTAACGTATTCACAAGTTCCCAGAGATTAGGGCTTGGAAATCTTTGGGGGACATTATTCTGCCTATCATAGCTAGGTTCTTTTCATATTTTTCTCCCATAATCCACGTAACAGCCTTGTAAAGGAAACATTGTTATACCCACGATACACGTATAGTAGCTGAGGTTCAGAGAGGTTCCTATTACACCTGATAAACGGGGAAGCCAGGGTTTGAATCTTGCTTCAGAGCTCACACTTCTTCCTTTGTCAGAGAGGGAGGGGTGGAAGCAAAGCCATCGTTTGACCTGCCACTCTCATTGCATTTCCCACGATTGTTTCAGTAGAGCTGCTTCTCAATTTAGCAAGGTCGTCCCTGTGTCCACCAAAGATTTCTAAGGCTCCTCCTGGGTGCATGGTATGTGTGTCTGCTGGGTCTCAGCAGAAAACAGATGGCATGCTCAAATGAAGTTATTGAGAAGAGATTAATAAAAGGACTGTTTACAAGGCTGTGAGTGGGGCAATGGGAAACCAACAAGGAATGACAGAGCACGTTGGCTAACAACAGCTGTTGCACCCTGCGCCTAGAGGAGTATGGGGAAGAAACAAGTTACTAGAACCCCGAGAGAAAGGAGAAACTGAAGGAGGAGCTGCCTGGCTGGAGCTGTGGCCTTCCATAGTGGAACACCGCTACAACCAGCCTGGCAGGGAAGTAGGTGGCAAACTAGATGACTTCACTCTCCTCACTCCCTCTGAACTCCCACTATTGGCAAATCTTAACCAGGAGCCAGAGGAAAGGGGAGTCTGTTTATGCAGTTCTTGAATTTTAACTTTCCAGGCTCAGAGCAGAGTATAGAAAGGTAGAGGGTGGATCTGAGAGAGACTATCCAGTACTATGAGACTGTCCTTCCCTGTGCCATTGAAATCAGGTATGGCAGTGGGACTCACTCGGGCCGGTGTGTTAGTTTCCTAGGACGACCATAGCAAATTACCATAAACAGAAGGCTTAAAACAAGAGAAGTTTATTCTCTCACTATTCTGAGGGCCACGCCCTCTCCGAAGGCTCCTGAGAAAAATCCTGCCTTCCTAGCCTGGCAGCCTTTGGCATTCCTTAACTTGAGCTGCATCACTCCAGGCTTTGCTGCTGTCTTCGCAGGGTCTTCTCTGTCTCTGTGTGTTCTCCTGTTCGTTAGGGACCATCATTAGATTTAGGGATCATCTTGAGATCCTTAACTAAATATACCTGCAAAGACCCTATTTCTAAATAAAGATCACATTCTAAAGTTTGGGGTGAACATGAATTTGTGGAGGGAGTTGGGGTGGATAATATTCAACTCACGAGGCCGGGCACTGTGGCTCACACCTGTAATCACAGCACTTCGGGAGGCCGAGGCAGGCAGATCATGAGGTCAAGAGATTGAGACCATCCTGGCCAACATGATGAAGCCCTGTCTCTACTAAAAATACAAAAATTAGCTGGGTGTAGTGGTGCACACCTGTAGTCCCAGCTACTCAGGAAGCTGAGGCACGAGAATCGCTTGAACCCAGGAGGCAGAGGTTGCAGTGAGCCGAGATGGCACACTGCACTCCAGCCTGGCAATAGAGCGAAAGACTCCATCTCAAAACAAACAAACAAACAAAAAAAACCAGAATGAATGAATGAATGAATGAATAAATAAAATTCAACTTACGATAACCATGTATATCTGGACCAAAGTTTTTAGGCCTAGCTTGAAATTTTTTTCTTTTTTCTTTCCCTCTGCCATGGCAATCAGCAATGCTCAGACAGCAGCTGCCCGCTCAGCCTGGGTCCCAGAGTGAGGATGAGGCAGAGCAGAGCCCTAGGTGACCTACAAAGGAAACATAACATAAATAGAAATAAATGTGTCATCTCTCCTGAAGTATGCCACGTATGTACGGTAGTTAATAACCACAGCCCATCCCTTCAGAGATACTGCCGGCAGCCACGGTAACTCCCTACTTCCTTCCTTTCACACAAACACCCTTGAATTGACCGAAACCATTCTATAGACTCATTGTTTCTTTTAATCCCAACCCCACTGGCAACATTTTACTGCACTGGTATTCCTCTTTGGGGCCAAGGTATAGAAAGAAATAGATCTCCAAAGACTGCCTTTTGTATCCTTAGAGGGAGAAGTTTTGTAGGAAAAGAAAATGAAGGCTAGAGTACATGGGTGTTCTCTGAAATGAGCTGCAGAGTAGCTGTCTGCATTGCAGACTGACAATTTCAAATGAATCCTCCACTAGAAGCAGCCAGGAATGGCTGTTGAGAAAACTGTTTTCTGCCTACACAGGGCTCTCTAGGTGCACCCTTCTCTGCCCTGCTATGACCACTTGTGCAAAACCGCTTGAGAAACTGTGCCTCATGAAGTTTGTTTATTGATGCTACTACCTGAGCTCTCTGAGTTCCATCTGCCAATCTTCTTTTCTCTAATACTGATCTCATTGCTATGGGTGTGGGCCAATGGACTCGAACTATCTTTAGGGGGCCTTAAAAGCGAAATGGATAAACTGGGTTCGAACAGACGAGACAGACAGACATGTCTGGAATCATGAGAAAGGTTGCCTGATTCCAGGCCCCGCCCACCTCACTAATCCGTCTTGAACAGCCTCTGAGTTTGACTGCTCCCACATACTAACTGCTGCTGCAGAAGCTGCAACTTCCCTCATCTCTTCACCAACCACAAGCCCCGGGAACCACAAACGGTAGCAAGAAAGAAAGATGTTATACCAACACTGAGCTTAGAGGGGTGGTTCTCAAAGGGTGCTACTTGGGTTTACAGCATCTGCAGCACCGGGAAACTTGGAAATGCAAATTCTTGGGCCCAGCCCTAAACCTACTAAAGGAGACACACTGGAGTGTGGCCGAGCAATCTGTGTTTTAGCAAGTTTTCCAGGTGATTCTGGGGCGTGCTAAAGTTTGTGAGCCACTGGCTTAGTGTCCGACCTCAGAAGACAAGCGGCCTGCCTGTTCCATGATTTATCTTGGTAAAAGTATCACCAGTTCCTCTGTCCCCTTTGCTTGGTCAGGAGGGATCCACCTGTAGTAGACTGGAGAATCCCTGTGAACCCAAGTTGTATCCTGGCCTCCTGGGTGTTTTGTATTAGCTTCAGGTCACAAGTGCTAGTCGGGGTTGTGTAGCACCCAGGAGACAGGAGCAAGTCAGCTACAAGTGAAGCCTCTCATGTGGACAGCGGGGTCTCTAACATCTGTTAAAGCAGCACATGTTCTACCTTTGTTCTGATAGAAACCAATGTGTACTTCAAAGTGGCTTGAGGATCTCTTTAGTTCTATATTTGGTGAGTTTAGAAATACTTTAAGAAACTGGTTTCACAGTAGTTTACAAAATGCCCTTTTTGTGTGTCTATCAAAGTACTTTGTATCTGAAATCTTTGCTAATCTCTTGTGAGTTTCCATTTACAAGATGCCATTTTGATAAAATGCAGGAAGTGTCCATATGGTTACGCAATTGTGTCTCTTTGTCTGGAGAATGAAGGAAACGAAACTGGGGTATCCCCTGGAGGAATGACAGATCAATAACCCATTTCACCAGGTGGCAAATTCAGTGGGTCCCATGAGGCAGTGTGTGGAGTAGGGGAGAAATGAGTCATACTCTATAATTCAAAAGAAAATGATACGTTCATTTTTGACAGCCATCTGGGCTAGACCACCTGGAGCTGTTTCTGGCGCACTAAGGTAAAGAGCTCATCCTAACCTGCCCTGTCCTCGAAAGCAGCGTTCTCTACACAGGACTTGCATCAGTGCTGCACTGGGCTCCTGGCAGACAAATCAGTCAGACCTAACCGATGAACTCCGCTTCTTCAGTAGTTTGGATAATTCTCTTAATTTTGTCTGATAGTACTGAATTGCCTGAGAAAACCCACTGGTTTCTTGCACAGCACAGTCTGTGAATCAGAATTTTTTTTTTGTCCTTTTTATGTGAAAAAGTTGTACTTCTTAATCTTGTCCTCCTCTCCACCTTCAGAGCTCTCACTGTGTTTTGGAGTGTGGTAAGTATGGCCCCAGGAGGCCAATAGAATCCTGTGATTTGTGCTCTAATAATCTGTGTCCTGCCTGCCTTTTTGGGGTCTATTAGTCCATTTTCACACTGCTGTAAAGACATACCCGAGACTGGGTAATTTATAAAGATAAGAGGTTTAATTAACTCACAGTTCTGTATGACTGGGGAGGCCTCAGGAAACTTACAATCATGGCAGAAAGGGAAGAGACACATCTGACATGGCGGCAGGCAAGAGGGACAAAAGTGAGTAGTGAAGAGCGAAGAGCCTCTTATAAAACCATCAAATCTTGTGAGAACTAAGTCATTATCATGAGAACATCATGGAGAAACCACTCCCGTGATCCAATCACCTCCCACCAGGTCTCTCCCTAGACATGTGGGGATTATGGGGATTAAAAGATGAAATCTGGGTGGGACATAGCCAAACCATATCAGAGTCTGAGCCTTATGCCTATCTGGCTTCATTTTTCTTCCAAGAAATGCTTTGTGTTAATGGGACTGTAAGCTAGGCAAAAAGGTATCAAAGGGCTAAGGGAAATAGTATATGTAAGTGAGCATGCATATCACAAGTGACAGCTTTTTTCCATGGAAGTTAAGATGGTCTCAGTGTCCCTAATTGCCACCTGCATATCTGTGTGCACGCACACTCTGAGGGGGTCATACATGGCTGAACCCACCCTACAGAGCCAGAGTGGACAGTTGTCCACAGGCTGTGATTGGATTTTGCTTCAGGGACCTCTCAATGACTACCCCAGCTGGTTCAGGCCAAGTGCCTGTTGGAAATTCCCACAATCTTTGAAAGTCGGACTTAGGCATTGAAAGTTGTTTAAATGCAAATTACTTTCCACAAGGTAGAGACATTATTATTCATTAATATTTGGGCTTTAATGAATCTATCAACTTAGAAGAGAATGTGCCAGGGTCCTCTTTTGGTAATGCAAGTCAAAGAGATGTGTTTTAATAATGACAGTTCAAAGAGGAAAGAGTAAGTTCTGAAACGTTGTAGAAACTAAAGCCACAGACTTAAGGAATAGTATGAAGACACTAGTGATTGGTTAGACATGAAATGAAAAAAGGGAAGTGGGAAAGTGGAAGATAAAATGCCTTCATAAGTCCACAGGTCATTTCTGCCTATGGCTCCTAAGCACAACTGTTTGTGGAAACCCTTGCTGAGACACTGAAACATTTTACCTCTGCTGTAGCGTTATTGCTTCAAAGAATTTATTCATTTATTAAACACCTGGAGCATGCCTATACACCATGGGTGTATCAGGAAAACAAAACAGGCAAAATCCTCTGCCCTCATGGAGCTTGCATTTTAGTGGTGAGACAGGGAGAGACAACAGACACAATGAATAAGGAAAATGTGGTGTGAAATGGTGTTAGATGCTATGGAGAAAAGTAAAGCAGTGAGGGGGCGCTGTTTTAAATAAGGTGGTCAGAGAAAGCTCACTAGAAGATAACATTTGAGTATAAAGTGAGTAAAGGGTGAGCAAGCCAGGCAGATGTAGAGATCGTTTCAGACACAGGGGAAGGTCCATGCAAGGCCCTGCAACAGGAGCATGCCTGGCTTATAGAGGAAGATCAGGGACTCGGGGAGTGGTCAGTTTGGCCAGCCCAAAGTGAGAAAGGAAAACAGCAGCAGATGAGATCAGAGAGATCATGGCGCAGGGACGGGAAGGGAGGTGGGGATGGGGAAGTTCAGATCATACAGGGCCTTAGAAGACTTCAACGCTGAACGAGGGAGTTTTGAGCAGGACAATAATATTATTCAACTTACAATTTAAATAGGCTATCACAGGGGTTAGCAAACCTTTTCCGTAAAAGGGAAGAGATGGTAAATATTTTTTCAGGCCATGAGATCTCTTGCAACTCCCTGACTCTGCCATTATAGCACGAAAGAGCCACAGACAAGGTAAACTAATGAGTAGGGCTGTGTTCCAATACAACTTTATTTACCAAAGCAGTTCACAGGACAGATTTTGCCCATGTTGACCCTTAGGCTATTGCAATAATCTGGAGGAGAGATGAAGGTGTTTTGGCTCAGAATTGTAATAGTAGTAGAAGCAAGAAAGGGTCAGATACTGGCTATATTTTGAAGGTAGAGCCAGCAGGATTTGCTGTCAGACCAAATACTCCAAGGTTTGTGGTCTGAGCAACTAGAATCACACTGTTGAAATGGGGAAAACCAAAAGGGGAGGTGGTAGGAGGAGAGGTATAAGGAATCCATTTGGGACATGAACATTTGAGATTCCTTTAGGATAAAAGACTTGGATTCAATGTTCTGTAACTCCCCTTCTAGCTCTAATATTCTATGACTCTACAACTGTGAGAGAATGACGTCTACCCCAGTGGCTTCTGCTGTGATCGTGTTCTTCAGGGAGACCTTCCACACTGCATTACTCCATCTTTCCCAAATGCAATTGGTGATTATGTTGGCTAGAGATAAGTTGCTGGAAGGAAGAAATGCTGAAAGGGAGGCAACTTCCAGCTGAAACTAGCAGGGGGACTTGGAAGAGTGTCATAAACAGTATATGTGCCGGAGGAGGCTTTGAGGGCTGGAGGCAAGTTCCTGTGTATCTTAGTTTCTGGGAGGTTACTAGTAAGGGAGTGTTGTCAGTGGAGCAGGCTAATTTTTAACATGTTTTCAGAAAAGAGCAATGTAACTTCTTAAACTTCACATTTACTCCATGGTCAAAATGGCCAGACTTCAGTAGTGCTCACCCTCTGTAGAGATGCCCTGGAGCCCTACATGGATTCCGATGGCCTCTATACACCTGCAGGACACAGCCGTGGTCTTTGTCACT